TCCACAGGGAAGGTCTGAGGGTGGAAGTCTGGATGGCGTCTGATTCAAATTTCTCCATGAAAATATTGGCTATCACTGGTGACAAGGGGGATCCCATGGGGGTACCCTCATTTTGTTTGTAGGAGCCATTCCAAGTAAAGTAGGTATTGTTGAGGCAGTGCCTAACCAGTGCAGGTGTATCGGGGTCTAGTCCATGTTGGACCAATTTTCAATTATTTCAATGGTATCAGGTACTGGGACCTTGGTGAACAAAGAGACCACATCGAAGCTGACAAGGATATCGTCAGGGGACAGTACGTCTTTGACCATAGAGACCAATTGGGCTGAGTTAAGTACTGCTGAGGCGGTCTTGCCAGTGAAAGTCAGCAAGGTATCTGACAGAAAACGGGCCAGTCTATAGGTAGGGGAGTTGATCGTGGATACGATGGGTCGTAGTGGGGTACCTTCTTAATGAATCTTGGGAAGACCATAGAATCTAGGGGGTCTTGCAGCAGGTTTTAGGGAGGGACGTTTAGTTGGGCCGATTAGGGAGGTCGAACTTGTGATGATCTTGTTGGTTTTTATTGCTAGGCTATTGGTCGGGTCATTTTTAATTTTTGAGTAACTTCCATCGTTGAGCAGATTCTGGATTTTGTTACCTACGTGATTTAAAGCTTTCGTGACTGCTAGGCTCCATACTCTTTGGTTCTATTGGGTAAAGTCACGTAGGTGAAAATGAAATAACAAAAAATCACGTTTCGGCCACAACATGAAGGCCACTTGTGTTGTGGCCGAAACGTCGTGATTTTTTGTTATTTATTTTCACCTACGTGACTTTACCCAATAGAACCAAAGAGTATTTACCTGTGACTTTACCGAATAGAACCAAAGAGTATGCGTCAATATACTTAAATAGTTCATATTTTAAAGGCCAAGACTCTTTTTCAAAACATTTTGCAAAAAAATTGGGCTTTCTTTTTCACGTAATTCATAGATGTGGCACACAAGCTCACGTCTATAACTGTGGCCTTAAAATGGTCATCATATGCAATGAACGTTTCTGGCAATCGCCCTTCGTAGCACAGCGCACACAGAATTGGATGGCTTGGCCAGAGTAGTTTATAACGCACCACCAGCATATGCCTTCATCATTCCGTGGTTTTGGGTCATAGTAAAAGACCGAATACCCCTCTAAACCACAAATAAGATTCCAAAATGCCTTAATGTGCATACAAACAGGAACAGTACATAAACATTTCCTCTGAAAAAGTGACTTACAAATGTCCGAGTAAACGTCGTATGCGCCACATTACAAGTGTCCACTCGATTAGATTTTCAGTTCGCATCACACCTACGCTTTGCCTCGCGTGCCTAAGTTACTGCAGCGTCAAACGACACGAGAACTTGCAAAGCTCCCAGCAATTCTTCTGTTTTTTCGGTAAAGTCACGTAGAAATAATAAAATAAGTGTACGTTTCGATTGCAACACAAGCAATCAGGTACAGAAGAGCTAAATTTACGAGACACAACCGCAGATATACACAGATACAACAGGGGATACAGAAACGTGGAAGCACACTAAATAAAACAGGTTTTAGCAATATTTGGAAACCATATAACGCAACACAGACAATCGGTCAAAACACAATTAACGCAAGGTCAGGTTGATTACGTTATTTCAAAGATTGCTAAATTGTAAGTTGTGAAATTTAAAATCTAAAAAATATACAGACCGCATACACATAGACATCCAAGCAGAACGAGTCAGAGGCAAATGGAGACAGGCACACAGTGAAGCATCATCTCTGTCAAGGTTTTAAATAGACAGGGCGGGGCTGAGATGTAATGGGGCAACAAATTCGAACACATGCTCGGCGAGACAATGGGACACAAATTAGCATGAAGCATGCAAGGGGCGGCGCGGAGGCAGCAGAGGAAACGGCACACACTCGGAAACCCAAGGCACAAACACAGGCAGAGACAAAACAGACACACAAACCTATGTCAAGAACACCAAGGTAAACACACCAGTAGAGAACACAGACACATACCTCATACCTCCCCGAAGAGGTGGTTGAAACTTGAATTTGGAGCTTTCGTGACTGCACGAAAGCTCCAAATTCAAGTTTCTCCCAGCAATTATTCCCGTGTGACAGTTGTTCAAAGGGTTTCCATCTTCATCGATCGGTGTAGGTCGACGAACGTCCGGAGCCTCCGAAGTGATGGCAATTAATTCGCTCGCCAATCTTTGACGCCATTTGGAGGGCACGTGGCTTAGCATGGATGACGCGAGGGCGGGGAACGCCATTAGATGCCAAGACACCAGACAGACTTTGCGGTAACACCAACGAGTTTATTGAAAAAAGGAGGCAGATGACGGACACAACTCGTGCCACAGACAGTCAGGGGACAGGAAGTGTGGCGGTGCGGCATGAGCAAGCGCTGCCAACCACGATCGCTCGTTCCGACAACACTGACGGCGCACTGACGCAGCTAGGGACTCCCGCTGGAATGTTAACACTCGCACACTCGGACTCGCACACTCGGACTCGCACACTCGGACTCTCGGACTCTCACACTCTCGCACACTCGGACTCGCACACTCGGACACTCACACCCGGACTCTCGGACTCGCACACTCGGACTCGCAGAGACTCGCACGCAGAGACTTGCACGCTTGCACACGCTCGCCCGCGCACAGGGGACCACCACCGCACTCACACCACCAACACCAGACGCCACACAATACACACGCACTAACATCACATGCATGCTACAAACACATCAACAGACGTGCTGACAGCACACACGGACACACCATGCGCACGCCATCATACCAACACACAAGTGGGGGACACCGACACCACCATCCCAACGTGAACACACGCATACCATCACACGCCAGCACCAAACACACCACACACGCACCGACACCCACACAAGCACCGACACCCACACACCAACACACCACACAAGCAACGACACCCACACACCACACAAGCAACGACACCCACACACCACACCGACACACACCACACAAGTAGACAACACGGACAACCCCAACACCTCACAAACGCACGCCAACATGACCACACGCATGCAAATGGGACACTAGTAATACCACACACGCAAACACTACACCAACAGGCCAACACCACCACATCACTCACAACAGCACGCCATCACCACACGCCACATTCCAGGGCACATCACAAGCATAGCACGTGACCCAACACTCGTTTACAGTTCATAGAAAACAAACCAAATCCATCAGACGTAAGTAACCATGTATTCACCAGGGCCCGCTTGCAACTGTCCTCCCTTGAAGCCAACACCAGCCGCACCCCAGCATCGCAAATGTGAACTTGCTTTTTGTTCGTTCTCACGATTCAGTTTAAAACTGTGGTGTTGGGTGGGGGGGGTTGATGATGATAAAATTAAACTTAATTTAAAAAAGGAAAAATCTATGCGTGGAATCGACAACTGGCTTTGTGTGTCCAGTAGGGCCGATTGCGACAATTTTGTTTTCAAGAGACAAAATACGGTCGGGGCAAGCGTGGAGCCACCAATTTGTAAAGGGGAATGTTGGGGGGGATTGGGAAAGCCGAGTAAATTGGGGGTGCAACAAGTCGGGTGGCTGGACCGCACAGCGACTTTTTTGTTGCTGTTTTATTACTTTGCCGATACTTTCTGCCGAGCGGAAGGGGGAAATCCGATCGATTTGCAAAGTCCGCTCAAGGTCTTTCTCTAAACACCGGGAGGGGGGGGGTGTCCCACGCAATCTTCATTCAAACGGCCAAACTCCACCAGGCGCCCGCGCGCACCATCACCAGCCACCACCCACCCGAATCACCATCAGCCAGCCGCCACCCGCCGCCGCCACCACCACCACCACTCGTTCAAGCGAACGGTCAAACCGTAAAGAACAGTCACGCGCGTGTCCTCCCACCAGCTTCCAACGGAGTCACTCATCATCCAAGACAAGACCCAGCCAGTGTGCTCGCTCGCTCGCCCTCCACTCAGCCAGTCACCAGTCAAGCCAGCCACCAGCCATCTTCACACACAGACGACTCCTCCTCTTCAGGCCGTGAACACCAGGCACCACCACGCTCCGCAGCGTTACCTTGGGGCCGGTCGCTCTGGTGGTGCTGCTGGTGGTGCTTGCTGGTGGTGCTTGCTGGTGGTGCTTGCTGGTGGTGGTGGCTGCTGTTGGAGGTGCTGCTACTGGTGGCGCTGGTGGCGACTTGGCACGTGAGCCATCACCCTGAATTTTGTTGTTGGCAACGAGTGGGTGGGCTGATTGGGTGGTTGGTGGTGGCGATGCCGCGGGGGTCCATGGGCTAACGAGCTTCTGGTTTTCCGTTTGCCGTGTGGCTCTCCCTGGCCGTCTCGCTCGGTTACCGGACCCGGCTCCTGGTGAAAGACTCTCAGAAGGTTTTAGTCACAAGTACACGGCAGCGATGCGAATCGAACAAAAACGCGTGGGGCGCCGTTATCGAGCGGTAGCGACGACGCGACACGTTGCAACGGGCCAGACTAACGCTTCTGTAGCGACAAGACAGCAGCACGACGACAGAAAGAGCATTGCGTCTAGTGTACGACACGTCTTGCTGAGTAGCTAAGAATGCGTGCGCTAGGCGCTAGTTTTACATCCCGTGTCCAGGCAGGTTCTGTTACTTTTTATCTCCCCCCCACCCCGCAGCCACCTTTGCTTTCTTCTGCAGTTTACTGACGCTACCACGTGTTTCACTTTTCAACGGCGTCCAAATCTAAAAAAAAGGAATTAAAACTAAACTCAAACTCGTCCAAAAATCAACCACATCAAATTCTTGCCTCCATCAACTATCTCGGTTGGGGCACAACAACAGACTCGCTCATCCTCCAGCCCCACAGCTCTCATCTCTCTCCCATCCTAAAACGAAAAAACACTAAACCCTCACTCCTCACCTAGTCACACAGACACCTCTCTAAAAAGAACCCCCCCCCCCCAATCCCCCGTACAAACCCACCCCCCACCCGCCTTCACTAACCCCAGGACTACCAGCTCGATTTGCTGGTGTCCATGCTGGAGAAGCTGGTGCCGAAACTGTTGCCCGTGTTGTTGGTGGCAGCCGTGCCGGAGCCCCAGCCAAATGAGCCGCTCTGCCCGCCCGTCCCGTACCCAGAATTTCCGGCGCCGCCCCCCGCCGCCGCCGTACGCCTTCCCCTGCTCCATGGGCACCGACGCCTGGGCCCCGCCGGCCCCCGCCCCGGCTGCCCCGCCGGCCCCGGCCTGCACACCGCCAGCGCCGCCGCTCTGAGCCTGCGCCGCCCCCGCGCCACCCGCCCTGCTGCGCCGCGCCGCCCGTCAGCGCCGGGGCGCCCCCCGCACCGCCGCCCCCGCCGCCGCCCCCGCCGCCGCTGGCACCGCCCTGCTGGTTGGCGAGCATGCCCATCATGTTCCAGCTACTCTGAAGGGCGGCCGCCATCATAGCCGGGTTGATGTTGAACCCGCCGAAGTTCATGTTGCCCGCGCCGCCGCCGGCGCCCGCGCCTGGCATCCCGCCACCCGCCCCCGCCGAAGCCGCCCCCAGCCGCGCCGCCCATGCCCCCCATGCCCCCGTAACCGCCGGCGCCGCCGCCCATGTTGTACCCGCCCTGGCCCCCGAAACCGCCGCCTCCGCCGCCGTACGAGCCGTAGCGACCGCCGCCGACGCCGCCGCCACCGCCGCCGAAGTTGTCGCCGCGTGCGTAGCCGAACTTGGGCTCGGCGCTGGAGATGTGGACGCTGGTGCCCTTGATGATGAGGTCCTCTCCGCAGAGGCCCTGGGCGATCTGGGCGGGAGCGAGAGGGAGGGGCGGATTACAGGAAACCTCGTCTTTCATTCTCACCAGCCGGTGATGGAGTCAGAGCGTTGAACCGGCACAACCGCGCTCGCGAGAGCTTTAATCCGAGTTTCGACCTCCCGTGATTAAACAGGGTTCTTCTCAGGTGTAAGGGAGTTACTATTATTTCAATCTGGCAACAGCAACGGGCTTACAATGTATCCAAGTCGGTCACATCTGGCACTGCAAAGGCCTTTGGCAAGTAACATGAGTGACCCAGCTGTGTGTTAAGATGAGCAGTTGCTCGCAGAAAGGTTTTAAAATCTGATTCGGCCTCCCGGTTTTGGATAAGTTCCCCACCCCTGGTGTACGCGAGCGAGAGAGCGGGTGAGCGAGTGGATGAGCGAACGAACCTGGTCATCGGAGAAGGTGACGAAGGCGAAGGCGCGGAAGGGCTTGGGGATGAAGACGTCGGTGACTTCTCCGAACTGGCTGAAGAACTGGCGAAGGTCGTCAGCCGTGATGTCTTCCGTGCAGCGGCCCACGAAGATCTTTCGGCTACGGAATGCGTCGCCGACTTGCTGCTCGTGAGACAAGGGTAGGGGGAGGGGGGCGTTACCCACACGAGTTATCTCAACTAGGGTACGACTCAACTAGGGTCACCGCAGAATAATTTTCTGCGATACGGTAAAACATCATCCACCACCACCGCCGCCAATGTCGACTGCTGCCGCAACCTTCCGCTGCTGTGGATCAATCCGACGTGTGAGCTTGGTGGTTCACGCAGGTATGGCGTCGTCATGCCTGCCGTGTAAACTCAGAGTTGCTGCGATATGATTTTCCACGATGGGATATCAAGTTTCACGATGTGATAACCATCACGATGTCCGTCTCCCATAACTTTGAAAAACTAGCTCGTATGTTGTGCTTTGTTGGACTTTCAGGAAAATGTAAGATTATTTTAAAGTTCTTCCACTCCAGTTCAAAGGTTTGGCCATAAATAAGCCTTCCTCAATGCAGCTGTACAAACTCGAATACTTGAAATAGGAAATACTGCGAGTTACACAGGAGAAAGTTAATTACAGGAATCCAGCAGTGGATTGATCCTGGCTAATTAAGATTAACTGAATAACCTACGAGGATGGTAATGGCATGACTACCATTCCAATCAATTCGTAACACATTCAACTGATAAATTTAACAGGTCAGTTATTTATTCAGAACTTTAATTATAGCATTTTTTTATATTTTAGAAACATTAAACGATCAATTCTCCTCAAGACATAACAATATTTTGTAGAGCGTGTTATACAAGGTCAAGTACCGCCATATCACGTCAAACTAACAACCCAACCCCCCATCCATCATAACCACGGTGGATAAAGCAAGAAACGTTTGTGGGAATTTCATAGTACAGTCGAAACTGAGATATAGACAAAGTTATAATATAAGAAAAACATTCTCAAATCACTGCTGGGGGGGGGGGGACGATGGCCAACTTCTGATATTGATACAAGCACACTTCAGATATAAGGGTAACTTGGCCTGGCTATCAAAGGAGTGTGCTTATATCCACAGCCACCCCCTCTCCCCCGAGTACAGAAGACATGCTTATGTCATTGTCATAAGTCTGGCAGCCGATGACTGCAATATGATGGCCAACTTCTGATATTGATACAAGCACACTTCAGATATAAGCGTAGCTTGGCCTGGCTATCAAAGGAGTGTGCTTATATCCACAGCCACCCCCTCTCCCCCGAGTACAGAAGACACGCTTATGTCATTGTCATAAGTATGGCAGCCGACGACTGCAATATGATGGCCAACTTCTGATATTGATACAAGCACACTTCAGATATAAGCGTAGCTTGGCCTGGCTATCAAAGGAGTGTGCTTATATCCACAGCCACCCCCTCTCCCCCGAGTACAGAAGACACGCTTATGTCATTGTCATAAGTCTGGCAGCCGATGACTGCAATATGATGGCCAACTTCTGATATTGATACAAGCACACTTCAGATATAAGCGTAGCTTGGCCTGGCTATCAAAGGAGTGTGCTTATATCCACAGCCACCCCCTCTCCCCCGAGTACAGAAGGACACGCTTATGTCATTGTCATAAGTCTGGCAGCCGACGACTGCAATATGTTCCTCAAAATGCGCCCCAAGAGAAAACGGACCGCAAGCCAATGCACAAATGGGTGTTGCAGTGAGACCGGAACCGCTCACTCACGTAAGAGCCGTTGCTAGGGTTTATGTCATCACTCCAACTGCACCAGCCATTCACCTGCCAGGAAGACAACCCCCAAGTGCGACATGGCCAGCATGACATCACTCCTGCAACATGGCCGGCATGAAGTCCCCCACTGTGCCCGCCCTCTGCTGGCGGTCCGTGGCCTGAGCCCAAGTGTCTGTTACGTCATTAAGGATTCGCAACGGACTTCTTTGAATTTGGGCTGGGTAATGATGCGACCCAAACTCAGTGTCGTTAAGAACCCTCCACCACCCGACAAGAGCCGAAGGGTTTAGTGATGCACCCAAATATTATCGTTTCAGCTGAATTTAGATACCGTCCAACTTCTAAATTTGTATGCGAAGATTGTTCTTCGACTTAAAAGGTAAGCGAGCTGAAACAATTATTGTCCCGTCTTTATTACGCTCGGGCAACACGTGACATTTTAATGTTTGGCTGTGTCGGGCGGTAGAGAGTTCTTCACGACACAAATTTGGTCTCGTATCATTACGGGGGCCTGACTACGAAAAACAATTGTGAATCGTAATACTGGCTGCAGGTTGTTATTAACGATATTTACGTAATTAATCACCAATTTCACAATGTTGTTATCATGATCAATTAAAAACGACTTACGAGTGCTTCCTGACCACTCGTAAGAGTTCACCAAAATTTCTGAACGCCCATTGTCATAATTCCCTTATTTACTCGACGTTACGGCAAGCATCATCCTAAGCCGAAACTTATGCCACGAGTGGACGCTAGCCCAGCTTCTACTGGAGTAATAATAATACCCTTTGGTTCTTGCTCTGCACTGTGACCAACCCTACAACCAGAGTTAGATTCCTGCCCAAGGCAAAACATCGGTGGGGAGTGACAGTTGAGGCGGTTCTGGGTCTCTCCCTTCATCAACCACCCCCACACCCCCCTTCACTGACCAGCATGGTGAGGTACAGTAAAACAATCCCCAGGACCGACACGATGTGGCGGGGGGGGCGAGCTTTCATTCAGCAGTAGATTTCCCACTAACAGCACTCGCCTTAACAACCGACGTCATTATTAAAAAGTAAATAAATGTGCAGCCCTGCAATTGCTCGCTCGCACCACCGCAGGTGTGAGTGTCTCCACCCAAGGGAGCTCTGGCCAGAACAGCATTCTGGCCAGACATCACGGAAGGGGCCGAAGTACCCACACACTTTCCCCACCGCTCGGGACCTGCCCATCAGCTGCGTCGTACCCATGTATACCGCAGGGTAGACAGGAGGCGGGGGGGTGGATTCGTAAATATTCCCCCATGTCTCAAGAGTCACGTTGCGAGATCGAATTAAAGCGGTGACCTCTGGAGCTCCCGGGATTTTTTTTACCCGTGTGTGTGTATGGGCCTGCAGTCAGGAGGGCGCGAGCAACGGAAGTTAATATTTTTATTTTACCAGGTAAGGCCTACCGAGCTATTAGCTCTTTTTCAGAAGCGACTTGGCCACAGATGATAGCTCAATGAAGTGACTTATCACGTGGACATTGATTGCAGCCAATTAATCTACACGCACGTTGATGCGAAATTTGGAGGGAAAAACCGGAGGGCCCGGAGAAAAACCCACAGAACCATGGGGAGAGAGACATGCAAATGCCAAATATACAGGGGTCAGCCAGGGTCAGGATAGAACCCACGACCTCCTGCATACCAGGAGAGGGAGATAACACGCGGTGGTGCCGCGGAGATAAAAAGCAACAACTGACCTTTGAGTTGGGCAGCTTGCAGTCGCACCAGCGCCCATCGATCATGTGCCGCTGGGCCAGCACCTTGAGCTGTGTCTCGTAGTCCCTGAAGCGCACGAAGCCGAAGCCCTTGGAGTTGCCCGTCTTGATGTCGCGCTTCACCTACGCGGAGGAAAGGGATGGACGCACAAACAAAAGAAACCAAGGCGTGCGTGAAGATTTTTCGCACCACCAATGGGCGTGTGCGCGCACGCGCAACGACACCATCAGAGCGTCGAAAATTGATTACGTTCTCCCCCTGTTCTGCAAGGGGTTTCCTCCGTTGCTAAAAAAACACACAGCGCAACTAATATTTACCACAAAAAACATCCCAATGCTAAAAAAATGTACTCGAAAAGGACTAATTTGGGATTAAAGAGCAACATCGCCACCCTACTGTGAACACATGGCAGGACAATCCTGACGAAGTGTCTCAAATTCGTTGATACTATCCTGGGTAAACAAAACGTGACGATAAGAAATAATCACAAATTAGGACAATGAATATCAAACTAATTCACTCGCCAATTAATTTGTGAGCTGCTCACTCGCGGTCTGCCACCTCATATCATTACTTATACCAAATGCTGCTCCCACGGATACATTTCAGAATCTCAATCTTTATTTAGACTGCAGGAGGAGGAATTCGATGAGCAATGAAGCTCTTTTTCACAGATGTTCACAGTAGGGGCACGGGATCAGGAGTTACAATACGACAAAAACAAAATGTGAGTGCAAAAAAGAGAAAACGGTGAACAAGTCACTAACTATAAGTACAGGACTCCATTATCCGCGTGCGGTTAATCCGATTTGCGGATTAACTGCGCACACACAGATTGATATAAATTAATAACTCGTGGATTTTCACTGAAGACCAAATTAATAACCTAAAAACAGTTATACATTGTTCTTTTTGGAAATGTTTACTACAAGTCACGTGCTTAAACCGAACAAAAATGTGCTCCGGTTAATCCGAAATCCACGTGATCGCTTCAATAGTACAGTAGTTGCATATCTTTACAAAAGTGGGTGGAGTTTCATTGACGTTGATTGGCGTGGCTCTGCTGTTGCCATCCACTTCATGGGCCAAGTCTTCTGCGCGGGAGCAGGAAAGTGTCATCACTGATTACGCGCATCGATTGGTCGATCATTAGCATTCGTTCCAAAGACTCAAATTTATACCTTTATTAGTGGTTTTTGGTATAGAGATCCGTAGAAAATGGATATATTTTTGGATTATCCGCGGCCGTCCTCCCCGTCATTACCGTGGATAATCGAGAGCATCCTGTATAAGTAACGTACATAAGTCCGATTTTTCAACACCAAATGCAAAAGCCTTCCCATACGAACTTACACTCATTGATTCCTTCGACCATGTTGAGGACGGCCTCACCCATACTTTGTTCAACCACCATGCGCTTGCAAGGTCACAACTATTCTCTTTTTGCTTCTTCCCTTCCATTCTGTCTTCCCACGCTCTTATAATAACCGTTCAAACTGTACGTACATAATTACAATCGGTAAGCATGTCTCTTTTTTTTAACCCACTGCTTGATTAAGGTCTATCCACACCTGTGTGGGTTAATTGACCATACTTCACTATGCCGATTAGCGAATGTTGGTAAAAGCGTGGAAGGAGAGTTGCTTTCTCTACCACTGAGGCACATGGCTGGATCAGTGGTAGATTACATCGTGCCAGGACTATTTTACTGTACTGGTGTGGGGTAGCAGTAGCAGCATTGTTAAATGGGGACTGCTTTCAGAATCGATCACCGGTTCCAAAAGTCAGAAGTGAAAATCCTGTGCGAGAACTGCTGTAGCAGCTTTGTGGATTTTTTTCCCCTCTGGATGCTCCGGGTTTTCCCTCCACATTTAGAATCAACATGCATCGATATTATTTGGCAGATATACACTTCCACATATGCCACTTCGTTGAGCTAAAATTTGTGTGGCCAGGTCGCTTCTGAAAAATAATTAATAGCTCAGTAGGCTTTATTCCGGTCAAAATAAAAGTGTATTTTTAGTTTTTTTTCTTATTTGCTTACCTTTCCTATAGAGAATTCCCCCTGTTATTCACGAGGGATACGTTCCAGAGTTTCTTGTGAATACATACCTGTCAACCCCTATCAGTACCCTACCTTATTATAAACCAATTCAGCCCTTAATGGTCACACCGTCCCCTTATAAATCCTACAAAGTCCCATCACAAGGCAGAAACACAAAGACAATGTTTTTTTTGCCCGTATTGAAACGGCTGTAGGCCGTATGGACCTGCACACTCAATTTCCCTGTACAATAACACAGGTAAAACCATATGGGTTGACAGGTATGTGAATAGCTTATTTTCTGGATAAAGATATTGGCCTACGAAAATCTTAAGGAATTATCTTAAATACATAAGCTATTAAATACATTAAAATTATCTTACCAAAACAAATGGTAACAATAAACAAAGTAAATAAAAATAAATATTTAACTATTAAATAGTTCATATATGAACGTGCCTTAAATTATGATGCTGTGCATCATCATGTTAACTCAGACAACAAGTTCGTGATTAATGAGGGAATCCTGCACTTTAGTAATAGTTTCTTGCTGTGAATTTCTGACTCGCCCCTGCTGGACATCCGTGAAAAAGAGAGCGTCATAGGCCATCGGATTTCTCCAGGAATAAATCAAATATTCCGATTCAGTTGTTCTCACTTTAAAAGGTTCACGACGCGTATGTTTTGTCATGCGCAAAAAAATTCTACAGGTGCGCTAAACCGGTAACTATATATTTTTTCTTACCGTCACCGGTAAATACAGAAAAAAACAACCCTATATATATAGAAGTGTACTGCACGGGGTAGAGGGGTGGTACCTGGGCCATGAGTACTTCTCCGAAGGTGCTGAAGTAGTCACGGATGTCTTGCTCCGACGCCTTCCAGGGCAGGCCCAGCACGATGAGGTCAGAGGTCTTCTGCACCGAGCGCTTCACCTTCGCCACGTTCGACATCTCAGCCTCGTCCATCTTGCGCTTGTTGTCTGTGAGTTGGCGGGGGGATGTGGATAGGGGGGCACGCAAGAGGGGCGGGGGGGGGATATGTGGATAGGGGGGCACAAGAGGGGGGTATGTGGATAGGCGGGGGCACACGAGGGCGGGGTATGTGGATAGGAGGGCACACGAGGGCGGGGTATGTGGATAGGGGGGCACAAGAGGGGGTATGTGGATAGGGGGGCACACGAGGGCGATATGTGGATAGGGGGGCACACGAGGGCGGAGTATGTGGATAGGGGGGCACAAGAGGGAGGTATGTGGATAGGGGGGCACACAAGAGGGTGGGGTATGTGGATAGGGGGCACACGAGGGGGGAATGTGGATAAGGGGCGCACAATAGAGATGTGGATAGGGGGGCACACAAGAGGGTGGGGGCGGGGGGAGTAAATGTTGGGGGGTGGGGCGGCATAAGGATGGAAAGGTCAGCATCGTCGTCACCAACAACCTTAATGGGCGCAGTAACGATGTTGGACTAATGTTAATACTGAAAGCAAAGTCACTTCCATGTATGGGTCAGAGCTGAACTACACATATACCTCTAACACTACTCACAAATCCTTACCCTTATCCCATTATCCCTACTCTAACAATACCCCACTACACCGAACACTACCCAAACATCCCTTATTCTCACCATATACAGCTTAACACTCCCACTATACTCACGAAAAACCCCCATATACTAACCCCCAACCCCCATAACAAAAAAACCTCACATTCGACACTTAAAACTCAAAAGCAGTTAACGCCGTTTCGGGGAATACCACAGGAAGGGCACATAGGCAGCCTCTGGTCTGTGCACTCCGAGGCCTCTCCACGTGACCTGTTTAAGCCCCATGGCCGGAAACGTCGCACACCGTATACTTTTCAAGGCCAGCGTTATCAACACGGAATACGTTCGGAGTTGTAATCTTAGCTGCTTTTCCCTCGCCTTGCGACCTCCACTGCGCAACGCAGCAACATCGTCGCGAAAAAAACCTAATCGTATTCAACAAGGCCGAGGCTTCAGGCCTAGCCGCCACCACCACGCCTCTCTCCTCCTCCCATTTCACTCACCGCCCGTACCCTTCGGGTAGCTCACGATGTACATGTGGCTGCCCCAGGTCTCCTCGGGGGGGGTGCAGGACCCCCTCGAGCAGGCGCACCCCGCGCAGGCTGCGCGTGTCGGGGTTGCGGTACTTGAGGCCGCAGGCGCCGGGAAACTGCGCCGTGAGGGACGACAACAGCACGGTGCCGTCCTCCTCCGACGGGATCTCCATGGGCTCCTCGTTCTCGTCGTCCGCCACGCGCACGTACTCGGCCATGATGCTCTGCTCGAGATTGGCGATGTTGGAAGTGGCCGCTCGGCACGGTGGTGGTGGTGATGGTGGTGAGGAGAGCGGCGCCGAGGAGGAGGAGCGGCACGCGTGGGCTTGCTCGTGAGCAGAAGACAAAATGGTGGACGGAACCCGAGCGTGGTTGGATTTCGTAGAGCGGATTGGCCCCGGGTGTGGGGGAGGGGCTTGCGGAGTGTTTAGATTTCGTAGAGCGGTTAGGGGCGTATAAAATGGGCGCGGCTTATTATTCACCGTTTGGTTTTGATAGCGCGGATTGGCCAAGATCGGAGTGCGTAGCATCCGGACTGTTTACATTCTCCACAGCGGTTAGGCTGCCAATACCGACAGCCGCCATTCGCCGCTGAGTGACTGAGACGTCACCACGGCGCGTGTGCCAGGCTAGGTGCACTTTGAGGCCACGTGAAGTGTCGTAGGCTTGCCGGCAGAAGATCTTGAGACAGACCCAGCAGGTGCCATGAGTCGGCTGACTGAGATGTTAAAAATTCGGTCACAGTCCCTATGATCAACTGTTACATTGCATTTATGTCTTTTATTTTGGTGATTTCGAAAACGTTTTTTTGTTTTGGCCATGTTTTTGTTTATTGTAGTACGGAGTTAGACTGATGGCCTTAATCCTAGTTGTCTTGTGGTTGTTGTTGTTTGACTTGCATCCCACTGGGATTTTTGCACACAGCGTTGGTGTACGGTGCTATTTCAGGAATATTTTGATGTTTTTTTCCTGTATTTTCTGTTTGCACAGTCACATAGTCACTTTAAGATGTTTTCTTGTTCATGTTTTTGTTTGTTGCGGTTGCACCCGATTCAAGAGCCGAATGGCTCACAGGGCTATACCAAATAAATGGAACTAAACTATGAACTAAAGATGCACCAGTTGTGCCAACTCGCCGTATTTTAGCCTCCCGGCGCTCCGCTCGTTATTGTGAGCGTGGCTCCTCCGCCCTCCGTTGCTGAAGGGCGACTACCTCGAACTGCCCAGTAGTGGCGTCCTTCACGAGCCTCCTCCTCCACAGAAGCCGATCTTGACACCCCTGGTACCAGTCACCCGCAAGTCCACTCAGCTCCACATCCTCCCGTACCGCATCAGCTCCATCTCTTCTCCAGCCCGTGTTGTGCCCGTTTAGCCCCCTCTATCTGGCCAAACAGACGCTGTTTGGGCACGCGGTGGCTGGGCACGCGGTGGCTGGGCACGCGGTGGCTGGGCACGCGGTGGCTGGGCACGCGGTGGCTGGGCACGCGGTGGCTGGGCACGCGGTGGCTGGGCACGCGGTGGCTGGGCACGCGGTGGCTGGGCACGCGGTGGCTGGGCACGCGGTGGCTGGGCACGCGGTGGCTGGGCACGCGGTGGCTGGGCACGCGGTGGCTGGGCACGCGGTGGCTGGGCACGCGGTGGCTGAGCACGCGGTGGCTGAGCACGCGGTGGCTGAGCACGCGGTGGCTGAGCACGCGGTGGCTGAGCACGCGGTGGCTGAGCACGCGGTGGCTGAGCACGCGGTGGCTGAGCACGCGGTGGCTGAGCACGCGGTGGCTGAGCACGCGGTGGCTGAGCACGCGGGCTACATGACCAAGCCAACGCAGCCTTGCCTGCCGGAGGAACTCATCGATGGGACTTTGTCCAGATCTTTCAAGGATTTGTGAGCTCCTCACACAATCCAGCCTGGTTAAACCCAGGATTGCAGGCCAGCCTCAATGTTTCTGTTTTAAGCTCCTAAAGTTGGCTTAAAATTGTATGGGCGCAGAAAGCAAAGGTTCCCTGGGCCAACCGCAATGAGTTTGCAACATTGTGGGGAGGACGGAGGGTGGAAAATTAAGCAAGCAAAATCACAAGAGCCCTTCCAGACAATGGGCAACGAGGGACAATGGGTGGCCGGGGCCGCCGCCGCGGCACTTGTGGAAGGAGGCGGTGACAAGGGGGGCGGTAACCACAGGTAGGCGCACGATTGGTCGCGCGGGACAAATAGCCATCCCGGCCCTTTGAAGTGAGGGGATTAGGCCATGGCAGAAAGCAGGGACGTGCGGTCAGGGGAGGCAGGGGAGGCAGAGCCTCACCTGTCATGCTCCAATGAAAATAGCCGTTATGAAAAGTAAAAAAAAGATTAAATAAAATAAATATTAAGATTTTCCCACTGATCTTTGTTATGAATGTCATTTCTGTACGATTCCAATCATTTTTATTGTCAAAATCGCCAAATTTGCGGAGCTCCGCTGCAAATACAGGAAGAGACGAGAGGTGAGGCAGCGACGAGCTCAGCCTCCCCTCTGATTGCGCAACCCCTCAGTGACTGGATGGAGAGTGGGCAATAAGCGCGTGCCTGTTACTATCTCAGTATGTCACCAATGTAATGTTTCTAGACCCCTTCATTTCATATCCTTGCCTTCCATACTCCAGTTTACTTATTTCACGTATTATGTGTATAAAGATATTTAGGCTCGCTGGTCTCGTCATGAAACTGCAATGAAAAAGCACCGGGGGAGGCAGCTATCACATCTGCCTCACTGAGGGGGATGTGTCTAACACGCCCCCCTGCGTTAGGACACGCCCCCTCCGTGAGGCCACGCCCCCTCTGTGAGGCAACGCCCCCCTCAGTGTGTGAATCTGGCTCTGACACTAGCCAGTGCCTCCCCAGCCATTAACCTCACCGCACGTCACTGGCAGAAAGGAGGAAACAAGAGTGTGAGGGCGCAGGTAAGCGCACGATTGGCTGCGTGGTATGACGTCACCTGGGCCTTTGAAGTTCAGAGAATAAAAAGGGGGGCTCCGGACGATTTTCGGTCAGTTGTCTGCAACCTCCAGGCCGTCAAAACCCACTCCCTGCCGTCCCGCCTCCTCGAGCCGCTCGCAGCATCCGTGTGATGCCAGCGAGTGCTGCTACGAGGCAGTGATGGGTGAAGTTTTCTCGCGTCCTCCTCCCTCCGACTCTCGCAGCGTCCGTGCGATGCCGCGAGTCCGGCTTCGAGGTACGTGGTAGGACGTTCGTGTGACTGGGTTCATAGGCAGAGTTAGGCTAGGCTCTCCTCGCGAAATATGTAACCTCCAGGTAGTGTGTATTTGCGCCGTTAATAAACTTTAGTTCAGAGTATCGGTGCGGTGTGATTTCTGTGTGTGTGGGTAGAACCTCGGCGTGGTGTCTGCGATTTGTGTGTGGTGCGACTGCGCGGGGAGGCGGTGTGCGTGAGAGAGCGAGCGCGGGGCTGCAGCGTCGGCGCGGTGTTGGTAATTTGAGCGCGTGTGTGAGGCGCGCGTGTATTAAAACATACACGGCCGCCGACGCTCGCGCGTGTTGACGCGCGCGCGTGTGCAAAACGCGCGCCTGCAGTGTGCCGCGTGAGTAGATATGGCGGGGTGCGATAAACCCGCTCGCTCGGCGTTTACACAGCGTGTTTACACAGCGGCAATGGCATTAACGGCTAGGCACGCACGTGTATTCGTACAGCCCTTTAGCATTAGCCTTTGTGTGCTAGCAGATTAGGGCTTAACCACCCGGAGGGGCGCGCGCATATTCATACTGCCGCCGTTTCTTTTGATTAGCGCCGGCCTTTGTGTAAAACACGCGCCTGCAGGGGCGCGCGCGTGCACGCCACCGCGTTCGTTTTTGTGGTGGTGTACGTGGGCGTGTGGGAGATAACCCCGGGCGGTGGTGAGCCAGCCGAGTAGCGATATCCCTCAGAGAGGGCGCTGGCGCGGGGGTGGCCGATCACCCGATTGGCGGGGGCCCTGCGAGAGGCAGCCAACGAGGGGGAGTGGAGGGGGTGGACGTCGCGCCCCGCCCGCTCGCAGGGAGCAGGGAGGCGGGCGTCGGCACCCACACAGCCTCGCCTGCCGGAGGAGCTCATCAATGGGACTTTGTCCAGATCTTTCAAGGATTTGTGAGCTCCTCAAACAATCTGTCCTGGATAAACCCAGCACAGATCATAGGCAGGCCATCCTCAATGCTTCTAACCGGCGCAGATGTTCAATTAGGGGGGGGGGGGGTCCACGTTTTACAAAGCGTAGAGAAGGGAGGGCATGTGACCGTAACCGAGAAGACCCGAAGCTTCGTGTGGAGTGAAAAACCGGGTAGCTTCCACACAGCAGTGTTACGCAGCCAAAGATAATGCCGCTCCACTGATTCGGAGTGAGACCTCTGCTGTCAAACCGGAGTCAGTTTAACACGTAGGCTTTCGCGACCAATATCCATAATACAGGTGTTTTGGGGGGTTAGAGCTGGTCATAAGCACACTGCCCACGTATACGACAGGATGCTAATGGGGATTTTTATGAAAGGCTTAGAATTGCTATATTTTTTTATTTATAATGTAACTTTGAATACGAAGGAGCATATGTAGAAATACTTTTTTTTTCATTAAAGTTAGTCGCAGTATTGAAGGGTTTGTATGTTTCTCAATAGCTTGCCTATTCATATGCCAATTAGGATCAATGGTATAATGATCAATGGTGTCAATTGGGGGTCAGTCTACCGACCGTTAATATTCACTCCATCTCTGTCTACATGCTATGAAGAAGGGCCGTTTCCCGAAACGTCACCTACTATTTACTTCTCATGTGTGAAAGGCCACACACACACACACCACTGCCAACGCAGCAACAGCAGCGCCACCAGATAATTCATTAGATGGTTTGTGGCCGGGCAAGGGGTTAATGGGCGTTTAGATTTCATAGAGTGGTTAGGCTATGCAAACTGGGCATTGCTTCTGCAGCCATTGGTTTTGTTAACATGGTTAGGGGGCTACGGTGGTTGGGTCCTCATGAGTCAGGCGCTGAGATTTGGTAAAGCGCACTGGCTATTGAATAAAGGGGGGGGGGGGGTGGTTCGTGGTTGAATGCACGCTTTGATTTTCTACAGCGGTTAGGTAATATTCTTTGTGTGTATTGCGCGTGTTGTAGTGGGGGGGGGGGGCGGTGGTGCAGCGGTTAGCGCTACGCTGCGCTCACGAACCCGGCCACCCGAGTTCGATTCCCGCTCACGGCCACCAACGCCCGTGGCGATTGTCTGAACCGGTCTTGGGCCTCCCATAGGTCGACTCAGCCTCAAAACGAGTACCTGGTGCGGTGTGGAAAAACATCGCCACCGGGGAGACAAAGGTGGCCGGGCGTGGTTCTGACCCACCTACCCCCTCGTGTGCCGTGCCGGCCT